GCCAGGCTCCTTCACACTTGGTGATGGATACAATGCATGTTTAGTCTGAGTTCAAACATTGATTGGGCTAGTTAGAAGTACTCTAGCATTCTGCTTCGTTACTCTGAACTACGTGAATGAGGTCAGTCCTGTCAGGTCAGTCTTTGTATCAAAGTCTTCCCAACGCTCTTCAGCATCTTTATGTATGAATGAGAATGTACATTGCTTGTCGAGATTCTACTCGTACCGCATTGTCTATTCAGTCCTTTTCATCACATTGTAGATTCTCGGTTTATTACGTACATTGCAGATATGTGCATGTAACACATAGCTGCCCAGCGAATTAGTAGTAGAGTACAAGGTTAGTGTTAGTCAGCTATGAGTAGTATTCAGAGTAGATCCTCATGAGAGAAGAGTGTGTATGCATCCTAGGAGGAAGGGAGTGAGGCAGAGAGTGTTCATTCAAAGTTTGGCTATGGAAGATACTTACCTGAGTTGGATGTGAACTGCAGAGGTGGCGCTGATGAATAGTGACCACATTGATGACTTGGAGACAATCTGCAGATGTAGCGCTGATGTATTGGAAGCCAGATTGACGGGCTGTCAAGGGATTTGCATTGCGCTGATGAGCGCTGGACTCAGGGAACTATGAAACTCTTTGTAATCATATTTTTGATAATATAAGCTTTGAAACTCGGTTCTCTTCTCTTTGTCTATTGTGTGAGACTACTGATCAGTGTGTGCGAGTATGATGCATGACATGTACACACTTGCGTGAGATGGTCCCCAGGACCCATGCAAATTTGGTATCAGAGCGGATTCTCGTTGTACTCATAGCGCTGGCATGATCAAGGCCGACGAGAAGTGGTGATGGAGAATAAGTGAAGGAGGGAGGAAGAGAAGAGGTGTTGGATGGTGGGGGAAGCAGGCCGAAGAAGAAGAGGTGAGAGTTACTTACCTGGAGCGTGCGGAGCGCCATGGAGCGTCATCGGCGGCATCTTCAAGAAGAGAGAAGCACCTCCTTTCCCTGAACCTGCATGTATGTGTGTGTCCCCTACCTTCTCTCTCTCTGACCCTCTGAAGGTGACTGCTGCTGGTCTGGTCTGGAGTCGAAGTCTAGATCTGGATCGTCCTAGAGTCTAGATGGTCCAAGTGCGATGTGCCAGGACCTGGTCACACTAGATTAGGTGGTCTAGTGTTCTGCGAGGCGGAGTAGACTTCTCTCCTACCCCTCTCGATAGGCAGACTGGGTAGTGTCGTCAAGGATTGAGAATCGATGTGGGAAGTGGCTATCTGCCACATCAGATTGCAAGTACCAGGCAGCGTAAGAATGATAGTGAGTATCTACAAGGCCTGTTGACCCCGATAGAAAGAAACATCTGAACGAAGTATTCCTGCCCCGTTGGATAAGTGAACCATCTGAATCTGATCTTCTGCGTTGTACTCCATACCTGCATCAGACACCCAGCCAGTTAGTATTAGAAAAGTATAGCAAGGGAAACAAGACATTAGAATCACATTGCCAAAAAGCCTGATCCAGGGAGCCAGACAACATATCAAAAGAAAAAGAAAGAGTATACATACTTAAATAGTCAACTTGTTTTAGTCTGATTTGTTGTTTATTATACGCAGCACCTTCTACAGTCAACAAAAAAAAAAACGAAAGTCAGAACTCCATCTACCACAGACACTAAGAAAGTAGGTTTGATTGGGGTAGTGCCGTGGTGAGCTGGTGGAGGACCTCCGGCGCCAATCCTCATCATGGATGACTATCCCATCCAGGGCCTGTTGGCCCTTTCTGTTTTGTTGGGGCCGCTGTTCCGGCTCATGTTCCCACTGGGGTTCGGACGTGTGTGTACGTCCCGCATGTTGATGCGGTCTGGGACAGTGACGCTTGGCCCCACACCTGCGGAACAGGCAGAGATTGACCGCAAGCTGGCAGAAAAGAAAAAAGAAAAGGAAGCTAAAAAGAAACAAAAAGAAGAAGAAGCAAAGAAAAAGATGAAAGAAAAGATGGAGAAAGAGTTAGAAGAAGAACTGAAGAGTATTCAAGAAGAAGAAGAAGAGGAAGAACCGGATACATGAGAGACCTTGCAAAGACGTCGTCATCTGGACATACCTGAAAGTAGTACAGTCGACCGGCTTCCCGTTGAACCGCTGGATTGGGCCGACCGATACTACTACTCCAGCGAGCCATTAAAGGAAACTGACGAGGAACGGGATAAGTTTATCGCAAAGTTGGCCACGGTAACAGACACTGTTGAACGCAATCTGATGATGGCAGAAAAAAGGGCTGAACTGAATACCACATTGTTAGCTTCCCGACGACAAGAGGTGGAGGAAAAGAAAAGACTGCAATCAGAAGGGGAGAAATTGCAGAAAGCTTTAGAAGCGCAAAAGGAAAAACCCTTTGCAACCGAAGAACAGCTTGCTCTCCTCAGGGAGACAGTCCTCAACACAAGACAAGATATGAATTTAATGCGTCAGACCCTACAAAGAGTTGAAACGCATCGGGTTGAATTTGAAAATGTCTGGAATAACTTCTTGGAAAAGTCAGCCAAAGACGTTGACCAACACGTTCAAACCATAGTTGCGGCGCACCAGTGCGCAGTGCGGGGCGGGGCGGGGCGCACCGTGCTGTGCGCTGGAATGACAGCGCGCGCACTGTGCGTCGTGCGGTGTGCGCAGCACGCAGTGCGGCCCGCTGTGCTCGGTGCGCGCGCCGAGGGAGTCGCGCACTGTGTGCAA